GTGGGTTGTAGGGCCTTTGATAGCACGTGTAGCAACAATTCACATTCAAATATAATTTTGAGATTCTATTAATGACAAGAACTTTGGATGATATAGAGTACAAATATGAGTGTTGTGGTGCACTAGGTGCAACCTTTGAGCTAATCACAGAACCACTCAGGGTTTCTGTTTCCTCACCTTATAATGAGAACTTGACTAAATGATCTATCTCTAAGATCCCTCCTAGCACAAACACTTCGATAATGATAATAAACAATTTCATTTGTTCATTGTTTTCCACACTGACTGGCCTAAAACGAAGGAGGGGAAATGCAGGCAGAATTCATCCCAACAGAGAGGGAGAAGGACTGTAGCTCTGTTGAGGTTTGCCCCAACATGACCAGGTGAGGATGGAGAAAGAACAGAAAAGGGGCAAAGAAGGAAGGCACCTGCTACCAGTGGCATCCTGCCCAGGAGTGTGACTGTCTTCTCTGCATCTGAGTAACTAAATACGAAGAAGAAGATCAATTGATCACTTAGTATATTCCTAACTCACCATCTAAGATGAGATGATTTCCAACTGCTATGATTAAAAGCTTCATGGGCAGAGATAAGACTCAAAGGAAGTCACTGCTGAGCTTTCATTTCCACCGAATTGCAGTTGGCTATCAAGGCCCTGCCACTCTTTAAATACATAGCTCTTCCCAGTCAACACTACACTCTATGAAGACAAAGCTCTTAAGTTACAAAGATCTGCATGTGCTCCCCAAGGGTGGAAAAATAAAAGATCAAAAGACAGTTTAATTATTTTTTTCCATGTTAGCAATTCCATCTCTAGTGGAAACTTTATACTGGAAGAGAATATATTTTAAAATAACATAATACAACCAAAATTAGTGTGCTTCAACTACAAAAAAAGGGCAGGTAGGTGGCACAGTGGATAGAGTGCCCGGCCGGAGTCAGGAGGTCCTAAGTTCAAATGCAGCCTCAGACACTTACTAGCTTCTTGATCCTGGGCAAGTCACCTAACCCTGTTTGCCTCAGTTTCCTCATCTATAAAATGAGCTGGAGAAGGAAATAGCAAACCCCTCTGGTATCTTTGCCAAGAAAACTCCAAATGGGGTCAGGGAGAGTTTTACATGACTGAAATGACTTAACAACAATTGCTAAAAGAAAACCAGTGCACTTTGGAGAAAGGACTTTTTACATTCGCACAACTGAGTTGTAAAGGGGATCAATTCCCTTTCATTATTTCACCAGAATCAACATTACTGATATTTCTACATAGACCCAAAAGGGAATAAGTAGTTTCAGTTTTAAGAATAAAATAAATTATACTTCATAAATGGCTCAAATAAGGATTCTGTGGTAGAGAAAACAGAGAGAAAGAAGTAAGACCTCTTAACATCATTATCCAAGTTGAAGAAATCAAACAGGTCCAGTGTCATCTCTAAGCCATAACAACATTCCTCTAAGATAAGAGTTACATTTCCATTTAGAGTGGCACTATTGAAGATTCCGAAGCCTTGGGTAAATAGAACTAATAAGTTGTAAATATTGGATATTAACCACTGCAGTGTTTACTACATAGACCACAGTTAGGCATGCCCCAGAATCAATTTCTCCACTAAAGGACAGCTCCTTTGAGTAACCTGACAATTTCAGGGGAATTTCAGTCCTAAATCTCTGAGGACTTTTTCTAGACGGTACCTCTGACTCATCACAGTCTGCTCTGAATTAGTCATATGTGTCCACAAATAATTTCCCTATAATTAGATTGTAAGTTTTTTCAGAACAAGGACTACCCTACTTCATCACTATGTCCCCATTACCTCAGATGCATGGAAAAACTCATTCACTCAACAAGCATTTTACTTATTTAAATAGCCTCTACTTTTATATCACCTGGGTACACTGCCCACTGTACCCCTCTTCTCATCTCTTCCCAAAGAGCCTAAAGAAGAAGGAGGAAGAAAAAAAATAGTTCAGCAAAACCAACCAACATCCATAAGTCTAAATTTATGTGCAGCATTCCACATCTGTTGTCCCCTACTTCTGAAAAAAAAAGGGAAGGGGCAGTATTTTCTCCTATTGTTTATTTGGGGCCAAGTGTCAACAAGAATTTTATTAAGTGCCTCCCAGATGCCAGGCACAGGGTTAGGTGCTGGTGATACAAAGACAAAATAGTCCTTGGCCTGAAAGAGTCTACATTATAGGAATTCAGCAACATGGGTTCTTTTACTACTAAAGCAGACAGCAACCGCTCCGTCCTCTATTATAGGCAACACTCATTTAGTGTTTTAAGGTTTGCAAAGCGTTTTACGAATATCTCATTTGATCCTCATAACAACTCAGGCAGTAGGTGCTATCCCCATTTTACAGATGAGAGAGCTGAGGTATTAGCACTTGCTGTCTCTCTCGCCTGGGATTCTCTCCCTCCTCACCTCGGCCTCCTAACTTCTCTGGCTTCCTTCAAGTCTCAGCTAAAATCTCATCTTCCACAGGAAGCCTTTCCCAACTCTCTTTAATGCTAGTGCCTTTTAAAATTTACTTTGTATCTGTCTTGTTTAAACATAGTTGTTTGCATGTTGTCTACCACATCAGATTGTGAGCTCCTTGAGGGCAGAGGTTGTCTTTTATCTTTCTTTGTATCCCCAGCTGAAGTGCTGGCACATAGCAGGTGATTAATAAATGCTTGTTAACCAACTGGGACAAACTTGCCCAGGGTCCCATAGCCAGGAAGTGTCTGAGGCTGGCTTTGCGCTCAGGTCTTCCTGACTCCTGGCCCAGAGTCTTTCCTCTGTGCCACATACCACAGGTTTAGACTTAGTGGAGCCTTTTGAGAGCTCATCTAGTTTGACCTTCTTGTGTTAAGGATGAAGAAAATGATGGCCAGAAAAGTTAAATGACTTCCCCAAGCTCACTTAAGTCATAAGTGCAGAGTCAGGATTAAAACCCAGGACCCTGACTCCAAATCCCATGTTCTTTCACTGCTCTAACTGCCTCCCTCCTATGCTATCATGGCCAAAATCCTATCAACCTCATGGCGAACCTTCTGGTTAAGGATCTGACCTCAGCTACAACAATCCTCCAACAAACACAGTGATCACTAAACACAAAACCTGTTTGGTCCAGTTGGACTTCCCACAGTTCGTACTCCAAAAGCAAAGCATTCAAGAACTCTGGGTCATCATTATCATCATCACTGCCATTTAAATGTCATTTTAAAAGCCACTTGGAATTATGCAAATACAGTGTCTAACATGTCTATATACTTTGACCTAGAGATTCCATTAATGGTCTTAAACTTCAAGCAGGGCATTGACAAGAATTAAGTCTCCATCCCCATAACACCAAAATATTTATAAAATCACTTTTTGTGATAGTAAAGAATTGGAGACAAAGAGATGTCCTTCAACTGAGGAATCGCTAAACAAATCAGTACATGAGTGTAATGGAATATTACTGTGTTGTAAGAAGTGATAAATGAGATGAATACAGAGAAGCATGAAAAGATCTATATGAACTGATGCAGAGTGACATCAGCAGATTCAAGAAAACAATATACACAACCATTTGCGATAATTAAAATGGAAAGAACAACCACAAACCCAAACGGTCAAAAGCAAATTAGAAAGAACAAGCAAGGCTCAAAAGAAGAGACACTGGGGATCCACAGAGGTGGGAGGTCCCCACATATTGCACATTGCAGGGTTGTTTGTGGACTTTTTCCAAAAGTATTGATCTATTGTGCTTATTTTTTCCTCTTTTCTTTCTTTCTTTTTTTGTCATTAAAATAATATTTATTATATGGGATGGCTCGGGGGGGGGAGAAGGGTGAGACACTGGAAAACTACAGAGATATAAAAGACAAAAGATGTCAATAAAAACTTTTAATTTAAAAAATAAAATAAATGGTGCTTTAAGGTTTGAAAAGCATTTAGTATACATATACCATTTTATCCTGTGAGATGAATAATTACAAGTAGAATAAGAGTGCTAAATTCCTTTCTGTTCTTCATTTTGTATCCCCCACACCCAAAGCTATACCTTGTACAAATGTACAATTGTATTATTATCTCCATTATACAGATGAAGAAAAGGAGGTTAAATGACATACAGCTCAAGTCACAAAGCTAGTGTTAACAGTCAGGTCTGATTTAAAACCCACATCTTTAATGGAGGTTTCCACATAGTAGCTGCACAACCTTTAGCTTTCCAGTGACTAAAATGTCCTACACCCTTTGATCTAGAGATCCCAGCAACAGGCATATACTTGAAGGCCATCAAAAACAGAAAGAAAAGCTCTATAAAACCAAATATCCATAATGTGACTTTGGGTGGTAGCAAAGAACTGGAAACAAAGGGGGTACCTAATGACTAGGGCAGAGTTAAATGATGGTACATGAATGTAATGGATTATTGTGCCCTAAAAAATGAATAGGAAGAAATGTGAGAAACACATCAATAAACAATAATTCAATAAACATTTACAGAGCGCCGACTAGGTGACAGGCCCTCAACGCATTAAGACAAAACTAGGAAAGCAATAGACACAATGACTCCAACAGCTCAAAGGCCAGTAAACTGTAACTGAACAACCGAAAATGGGGGTGGGGGGGAATCTCCTCTTTTGTTGCGGGAGGCGGGGTAGCTACAGGTAGCATGTCACCTTCTGTGAGGCAGTTGTGCGGGTGGCTTTTGCTGCACTGTTTTTTTGGGTGAGGCTCCATGAGTGTGGAGATGGGCACACCCACACATGCATGCGACCTACAAGCAAACCGCATCGATAAAGCTGTTGTAAAGGTAGCTTGCTGAAACTTCTGCATGTTTATTCTAATGTGCATCTCAGTCCGGTATTTAAAAGTGTGGTCGTCTAGCAACTGGAGGGGAGAAGAGGCGGGGGCCGAAGGGGGAGGAGCCAGCTCTCAGACTCCGATTGGGCCGGGGGCGCGGGGAGGGAGTTTTAAAAGCAGACCCAGGCCCCGTCTGTGCCAACCTGGAGACGCGGAGACACCTACCAGGTCTCTGATGAGCTGCTCCAACAGCCGGTCGCCGCCAGCGCTCTCGGGGTGCTCGGGCTGCGGGGCCTCGGGGGTCTGGGGGACCCGTCCCCCACTGGGGCAGGAGGGCCCCCCGGCGGTCCGGGGCGGGGGCGGGGCCAGCGGGCACTCCCCGCCCTCCAGGAGGCTCTTGGCCAGTTCGAAGTAGCCCTGAGCAGCCCGGGGCGGCTGGGCTGGGGCACCCCCGGGGGCGGCCCGCACGGCCCCGCAGCTGCCCCACTGCGACACCGGCTCGGGCTCCCGGGCCGCCCCCGCCGGCCCCTCTCCGCTCCGCCGCCGCCTCTTGGCCGGCCCCTCTCGGAGGGCCAGCTCCTCCCGCCAGCGGCGGCGGAACTCGTCCAGGCCGGCCTCGGCCATGGGGGGCGCGGCCCCAGCCCCCCTCTCACCGCGACAGGGGCGCCCTCACCCCGATATCAGAGGAACCCTCTGTCAAGATCAAGGGGATCCTGCACCCCGAGATAACGGGGACCCTCACCCCGAAATCAGGGAGACCCTCTGTCAAGATAAAGGGTAGCCTGTAGCCTGAGATAAGGAGGACCCTCTGTCAAGATAATGGGAGACCCTCACCCCGAGATAAAGGGGACCTTCCTTCAAGATGGAGGACCCTTTACCCTTAAAGGGGAACCGTCATTCCAATATCAAGGGGACTCTCACCTGGAGATAAAGGGAGACACCCCGAGATAAAGGGGACCCTTACCCCAAGATCAGAGAGACTATCACCCTGAGATAGAAGAAATCTGTGCCCGAAATAAAGGGGAACCCTCATCAAGATAAAGTGGGACCCTGTTCCTCACCCCAAGATCAAGAAAGGAACACAGCGAAATTTAAAAGGACCCCGTCACCCCCAAATCAAGAGGGGTGCTCATTGTGGGATCAAGGAGGACCCCTCACCCAGAGATCAAAAGAGGAACTAACACTGCAATCAAAAGAACCCCTCACGCCGAGATCAAGGGAGATTCACCCCCTAATTGAAGGGAGTGAGCCCCACGATCAGGACTCCTCACCCCCAAAACTAGGGGAACCATCACTGAGATCAAGGACTATATATCCCAAGATAAAGGAGACCCTCACCCCAAGATCAAGAGGGAAGCTGTCACGCTGAGATCAAGGGGGACCCCTCACCTTGAAACCACAGGAAGGGAATCCCTTTACCCCAAGATCAGAGGAAATGAACCCTCACCCCAAAAACAAGGGGTCCTACCGAAGATAAAAGGGAGGCCCCCATTCACCCCCAATTTAAAGGATTTCCATTTACCTCCAAATGGGGCCCCTCCCCCAAGACCCCAAAGAGGGGATGCGCCCCCGAGCCTGTCCGGTCCCACCTCCCTCCCTCGCCCCAGCTCCGCTCGCCCCCACGGGGAGCCCCACCCACGTCCCTGCCGCCCCCCGAGGCCGGACCCTCTCCCCCCAGCCCAGCGCCGGCGTCTTCCTCGGTCTTCTCCGGAACTGTCCTTCAAGGACAAAGGTCCGCCATCGGAGCCGGAAACCGACGCCTCGGTCCTTGGGTTCCGGGTGGTCTCGGGGCGCATGCGCGGCCCTGCCCCCTTCCCTCCTCCCAGCGCGTTCCCGCAGTCTGACCCAGCTGGGACCCAGACTGCCCGGCTGTCAGTCCAGGAGGGCAAGGGGCGGGGCTTTGTGTGCGCGCTGCCGGGGGGTGGAGGGCGAGGGATGAAGGGGTGGCCGCGTCAGTCAGTCAAGCTGCGTTTATCGAGCTCCTACTGTGTGCGGGGACTGAGCTAGGCGCAGAGGCACTGGACAGACACCCCCTCACTGCTTCCCAGTTTCCTCAAATACTACTGGGAATTATCCTGGATCAGTCCAGCAAACGTTATTCATGTTGTGATGGACAGCATAATAAACTTGGAATCGGAAAGACCTGGGTTCAAATGCTCCCCTCAGACTTTTGGGCTGTGGGATCCTGACCAAGTCACCTCTATATACTTCAGTTTCCTTTTCGAATGAATGAGGGGGTTGTATTCCATAAGCGCTAAAGTCCTCTTCCAGCTCTCCACCTAGAGAACTGTGACACTGATTTTCAGGGTTTTAGTTTCCTTGTCAGTGAAATGGGGGTGGGGGCGGGCGTATTAAATGGTCTTTAAAGTCCTTCCACCTCTCAGCCTATGAATCTATGTTTATGGCACGCTAGGCAATGGGAAAGAAAGACCTAAATGAGTGAACAGATAGATAGTTGGATGGATGGATGGATAGATGGATGGATGGATGGATAAGCAGATGGATGGATACATAGATGGATGGATGGATGGATAAGTAGATGGATGGATACATACATGGATGGATAGATAGATGGATAGACAGGCAGATAGACAGATGGACAGACAGATGGATGGATGGATGGATGAATGGATGGGTGGATGGATAGGTAAATGGATGGATGGGTGGATGGATGGATAGATATATAGACAGATGGACAGATGGATGGATGGATGGATGGATGGATGGATGGATGGATGGATGGATGGATACTTAGATGGATGGATACATAGATGGATGCATGGATGGATGGATGGATGGATGGATGGATGGATGGATGGATGGATGGATGGATGGATGGACGGATGGATGGATGGGTAGATGGATGGATAGATAGGTAAGTAGGTAGATGGGTGGATAGATAGGTAGATAGATGGATAGATGGATTGATGGATACGTGGATGGGTGGATGGATAGATAGATAGATAGATAGATAGATAGATAGATAGATAGATAGATAGAGAACCCTCCTGCCCTCAAGGGGCTTACATTCTGTACAGCAAAGAGAGACAGCCTGGTGAAATGCAAAGCTGGCCTCAGAGTCAGAAAAACTTTCCCTTCTACTAAATATTGGCTATGTGACCCTGGATTAATCACTGAACTCTCGGCTCTCCAGAATGCTCTTTAGAATCATACTAGAATGGGAGCTAGAAGGGACCTGAGAGATCTTCTTATCCAACCCTTTCATGTTACAGAGAAAATAGATAGGATCATAGATTCAGAACTGGAAGAGACCCCAGAAATCATCCGGCCCAGTGGTGTCAAACTCAAATAGAAATAGATCCCTTCAGGCAGCATACTAAGAAAAACCACAAATAAACATAATCCATGTTGTATTTTTATTAATTTCATTAAAACATTCAGGAGGGATTTGACACCTATGAATTCTAGTCCACCCCTCCCCCCCCAAATGAGGAGTCTGGTTAAATGACTTACTTGCCCAAGGTCACTGGGACAGTAAGTGTGAGAGGAAAGATTTGAACCCAGGTCTTCTGAATGGAGAGTTAGTGCCCCTGCCTAGCAAATCTAGGTTTAAAAAAAAAATGATAGGCAATATAGGATAGAGTAATGTATATCAGAGAAGGCTAGGGGGCACCATAGTACACAGAGCACCAGGCTTGGAGTTAGGAAGACATCCTGAATTCATATCTGGCCTCAGACACTTACTAGTTGTGTGACCCTGGGCAAGTCACTTCACCCTGTTTGCCTCAGTTTCCTCATCTGTAAAATGAGCTGGAGAAGGAAATGGTAAACTCACCAGTATCTTTACCAAGAAAACCCCAAATGGGGTCACAGAGAGTCAGACATGACTGAAATGATTCAACAACAATGTATATAGCAAGCCAGCTACAGAAAAAGACTTGGATTCGAGTCAATTAATAAACTTACATTTATTAATCATCTACAATGTATAGGTACTGTATTCAATGTTGGGAACACAGTTACAAAAAAAACACCTTTTTCTGGAGGACTTATTTTATCAGTATATGTACACATACTGCACATCTAAGATTCAGGTTCTTGCCATCACTTTGTGGTCACCTTAGCACAAAGCAGCCACAAGGGAGTTCCAAAGGAACACTGATGCTTGATGAAAAATAATGGTCAAAATTGGGAAGAGAGCTTCACTCATTGGAATCCACTTGTCCTCATTGCTTATCCTTTTTTAAATAAAATCCATCTCTTTTATGGCTAAATAAAGCTATTTTTGTTAAATGTTGAATGACCTACAGATGTCTCAACATTTTGTTCCAGTATAAAACAAACTACCAGGGGACTGGCCTGAGTCAGGCCCAGCCCAGAATAAGGGAAAAGTCAAATTAATCCAATAAACATTTATGAAGCATTTCCTATGGGCCAGCCACTGTGCTAATCACCGAGGATACAAAGTAAGGCAAAAACAAGTCTCAGCACTCAAGGAGATCACAGTCTAATGGGAGAGAGACAATATTCAAACAGCTATGCACAAAGAAGATATTTTGGAAATGTTGGTTTGAGATGTCTCCAGGGCAACCAGTTTGAAGTATCTGATTGGCATTGATGTAGGTGCTGCAGGACTGAAGCTCAGAAAAGATACCAGACCTAGACATACAGATCTGTGAGACATCTGCATGGAAATGATAATTAAGTCCAGGGGAGTTGATAAGATCACCAAGAGAGAAAGAGAGTAGAAAGAAAACAGGGTTCAAGACAAAGCCTGAGGGCATTCCTACAGTTAGGTTTAAATGTTTGATAAATAATTTTTTTTAAATTGCATTAAGAGCATGAGTTCTGGGCTGCAGCATTCTATTTTGGAAATGTTGAGTTTTAGGTGTTTCTGAGGCAACCAATTTGAGGTGTCCAATAGGCAGTTAGTGATGCAGGGCTGGTACTCAGGAGAGAGACAGACTTGGATATATAGATCTGCATATGGGAGTCATTGGCATAAAGATGATAATTAAATTGGGGGTGGGGATGTGAGAGAGAGAGAGAGAGAGAGAGAGAGAGAGAGAGAGAGAGAGAGAGAGAGAGAGAGAGACAGAGAGAGAGACAGAGAGAGAGACAGAGACAGAGAGAGAGACAGAGAGAGACAGAGAGAAGGGGAGAGAGAGAGAAGGGGAGACAGGAGACAAGGTAGAAAGAGAAAGGAGAGAAGAGAGAGAGAGAGAGAGAGAGAGAGAGGAGAGAGAGAGAGAGAGAGAGAGAGAGAGAGAGAAGGGGAGAGAGAGAGAAGGGGAGACAGGAGACAAGGTAGAAAGAGAAAGGAGAGAGAGAAAGAGAGAGAGAGAGAAAGGGAGAGAGAGAGAAGGGGAGACAGGAGAAAAGGTAGAAAGAGAAAGGAGAGAGACACACACAGAGGAGAGAGACAGAAAGGAGAGAGAGAAAGAGATAGAGACAGAGAGAGAAGAGACAGAAAGACAGAGAGACATAGACAGACACAGAAAGAGGCAGGCAGAGAGACACCATAGAGAGAAAACAGAGGAGAGGGAGAGAGAGGAGGGGAGAGAGGAGATGAGATAGAAGGAGAAAGGAGAGACACAAACACAGAGGAGAGAGACAGAAACAGAGAGACAGAGAAGAGACAGAGAGACAGAAAGACAGAGAGACAGACAGAGACACATAAAGAGACAGAGAGAGGGAAAGAGAGAGAGACAGAGACAGACACAGCGAGAGATCAGAGAAGAGGCAAGACAGAGCCCTGGAGTATACCCATATTTAGGTCTGAATGTTTGATAAATGATTTTTTAAAATAAATTACCATAGTAATTGCAAGTCATTTCTCCCCTCCTTGTCTCAAAGGATGTTGAGACACAATGAGATTGAGAAGGGGCAGTCAGACAGGTAGAGTGAGAACTAAGAGAGGGTAGTATCCAGGAGGAAAGAGAGTGATCAACTGGGTCAGAAGCAGCAGACGTAGAGAAGGGCAAAGACGGGGAAAGACCAATAGATCTGTCAATTAAGAGATCATTGGTAATTTTGTAGAGAGCTATTTCAGTTGAATGATGAAGTGAAAAGCCAGGTTGCAAAGGGCTGAGGAGTTAGTGAGAGGAGAGGAAATGCCTCTCATACTTCTGACATTTTGAGCTATGTGACTCTAGGTAAAACATTTAAATGTGTAATGCCCCAATTCTTGATGAATATAAGTTGCAGAATGGCTGCAGATCAACATTTGTGAAAGGAGTTTTCTTACCTGGAGTTTCTTAGCAATAAAAATACAAATTCAGGTTTAAAAAAAAAAGCTTGAACAGTTTAAACTGCACCAAGACTTTCGGAACACCTCATATGGCGTCTGGTAGCTGACCTTTAACACAGGATCATGATGGCAGGGCCTTTAGAGGCCAGATAGTCCAACCTCTTTGCTTGATGAGGAAATCGAGGCTCAGGAGGTTAAATGGTTTACCTAAGGTGATGCAACTGAGAGGTGGAAGTAAGGCTTGAAGAGAGGTCATTGGATCACAGGTGCATTGGAAGGGTTATGGAATCCAATTCCTTTGTAGCATCCTCCCTGGTCTACTTCCCCAACCCCCATTTTCATTGATAGGCTAGATCTCTAGAGGGTACCTGACTACTACCCCT